CCGTGGCTTTTTCAAAAGGCGGTAGAGGGGGTCTAGGCACGGCTTGAGCCAACGAGAACTGCCAGCAAACCAAAGCAGCATGCTCACCATGCGCTCTACGAGTCGCCGCTCCACCTTCTTCCCTAGGTTATGACAAAGCGCGTGCAAATTTTGCAGGAATTTGGCCGCTTTTGACTCGGGAATACGAACTTCAAAAGAACACAGATCAAACTGCCAGCCACGCGCTCGCCCCAAAGGACTCCACCAACCAGCTCACGCAGATGCCCGGCGCGTAAGTCTTTGTTATAATCAATTCCCAAGTGTCTCTGGGCATTTGCGTGCACTCGCCCAAGGTTCGCGGTAGCTGCTCCTGTTCAATATCGGCATCGCTCGCTACTGGTTCCCAGAGAAATCGACGCGCTTGAAAATTCCAATGGGCACACCTGCCTCGAGTAATTGCGGCCATTTGCTATCCACATCCCCAGTCACCTGGCCTAGCGCATGCCAAGCATTCAAAAGAAAAGGTTGGCCCGGCGTGATCTCTGCATCACAAGAATCACAAGAACAGCTGCGCCCTTGCAAAAAACTGACCAGCTCCTGTCTCACATGTAGGAGCTCGGCGTCCCCGCTGGCAACATGGGCACGTAAGCGATGCACAAGACCCCATAAAGGTTGGTCAGCTTCTCAAAAGTTTTTCGCCTCAAAAGTAGATCGACCCCCACGTGTGGAGTGAGCCAGTTTGCAGTGGAACCAAGCCCGCCGCCTCGGGGACTGCCCCCCCTCAATCCGTCAACAAATCATGCGCGCCAGGCGCAGTTCACTGGATGCCGGAGAATGGTTCCGCAGCTAACCGCCTGGCTTTTTGCAGCGACATCTAGTCAGCCCTGCCCCTTTTTTCGCTTGCTGCTCGGCTTGCCTGCATCTGGACAACTCGCTGCCTGGTGCTCTGCCGACCCGCGCAATACACAATGGTGCTTCCAGCGGCAGTTGGTCCGAGTGCATTTTCCTTTTTGCCGCAGGAAACATTTCGCTTCAGCGGTTCCCTATCGGATAGCCGTGGGGGGCGGCATCAGCAAACGCCGCAGCATATATATCCCTGCTTCCATGAAGGTTTCATGGGGATCTGTCTTCCGACGGCCCTTCATAGGTGTCACCGCCTTTTCACTCCACTCAGCAACCTCTTCCAAGAAATCCAATCCCAAGCCTTGCTATCCTGCTGAGCCTTGACTCGCTGCAAAAGTGGAATGGAATGCAGTGCGGCCAACGTCACCAAAGTTCCCGCGCATTTGTTTTCCAAACTTCGGCGCATTGCATCACGCTCAGCAACAGTGATGGCTTGGCCCTGCCCCACTAGTTGAGAAGCCCGCGGGGTCAACATTGACACTCGCTTCCAAGCACATAAACGCGATATAGCGCTAGCCGCTCTGTTTCCAAACAGAAAGTTCAAGCCCTCTCCATGCAAGTGGGGCAACGACCGGAGCACATCACTATGCGCCCGGTGCTTCGGCAATCAATACAAACTGCCGTACCAGGGTCAACCGCTGTCCTCAGTGATTCACCTGTCCCGCGCAAACAACGTGCAGCAGGAGAAACGCGTACTCTGTGAACCCCAACTCCACACGCAGCCCCACAAGCTGCAGATCTTGAAGCCACCTCGACATCATCCAAGTGGAATGGGTTGACAAACCTCAACCTGCGGTATGTAGGACGGGGCTCTTCAGATTCATCATTTGGATGAAAACGCGAAGGCCCCACCGTCCTCTTTATTACCACAAGAAGAAAAAAGGAGCACAACACACAAGAAGTTTTTTGCCAAAGAGGCAGCTTTCACCTGTCTGTAAGCTGCACCAAGTCAAAGCTTCCTCAAAAATGCAAGAACAAGGTCTGAAAATATAAACAAGGGGGCAAGGGGGGAGGAGGGCTCGCGCTGCTGCACTTGGGCAGCAGGCCTCACAACAATGACGACATTCACGAAACAAAATGACGGCACTGACGGTCAATAAGAGCGGAAGCGACAAGGAAATCGCCAGCGATGGCCGGGCAGACGCAAGCATACAAACTGAAGACTCTTTGTCATAGATTCATACTGATACTGCTACGGCTGCTGTGCTGTCACAATGTTTTTGCTCAGTGGGCCCATGCGAAACTGCTGGAGCGCAGTAGTACCGCGACTGCCACGCAAATCACACCGGCAGGGCTGCGGCGACCAAGCGACGCCAGGGCGTACACCCGACCCCTGGGAGAGCACCAAATACCGCGCCTGCCACGCAAATCACAGCAGCGCAGACACAAATGCCACACAAATCACAGCGGCGGAGACCCAGCGACGCCAGGGCAGCCCCGGCCAGCACCGGGGCGTACATCCGACCCCCCAAAAAACACCAAAGTACTACAATCACAGCGGCACAGACGCAAATTGGTTGGTAACAGTTGGTGGGTAGCAAATTGGTGGGCGGCAATTGGTTGGTAGCAATTGGTTGATGACAATCGGTTGATGACAATCGGTTGATGACAATTGGTTGGTGACAATTGGCTGGCGACAATTAAGTAGTTGGTGACAATTTGTTGGTGGCAATTGGTTGGTGACAAATGGTTGATGACAATCGGTTGATGACAATTGGTTGGTGACAACTGGTGGGTGGCACTTGGTTGGTAGCAATTGGTTGATGACAATCGGTTGATGACAACTAACTAGTTGGTGAAAATTGGTGGGTGGCATTTGGTTGGTAGCAATTGGTTGATGACAAGTGGTTTATGACCATCGGTTGATGACAATTGGTGGGTGGCAATTGGTTGGTAGCAATTGGTTGGTGGCAATTGGTGGGTGGCAATCGGTTGGTGACAATTGGTTGGTGACAATTGTTGGGCGGCAATTGGTTGGTGGCAATTGGTTGGTGACAATTGGTGGGTAGCAGTTGGTTGATGACAATTGGTTGATGACAATTGGTTGGTGACAATTGGTTGGTGGAAGTTTGTTGGTGGCAAGCGGAGGGCGGGAGGAGGAGGCGGAGGGCGGGGCGGATACAACATGTGGGGAACAAAAGCAGCAGCAGCAGCAGCAGCAGCAACAACAACAACAACAACGATATGACGACAGCCTGTCGTCACTCAATCTTCCGTCGCCGCCGAAAACAAGACCCAATATATGCCCGGATCTGCCGTTATATCTGGCCTTATCTCTGGCGGGGACGGAATGACAACATGACGACAAGGATGTTGTCGGTTTGACAGCAGTAACGACGAAGCGACACTTGAGCTTGCTTGAGCATACGACCCCGCAGACTCCAGAAAAGTTTGAGTCATGAACATTGACCAAAGTCGTCCTTTCAACACATTCCTTTTACCTTTTATCACAGTATCATCATCAAATTCGATGTCACCCTGTTTTCTGATATGTTTATGGTCCTCTTAGTGTCGTTCTGCAATATGTTAGTGTCGGTCCTTGCTGATGATCGCCACCATGGTCGATACTGTTGTTGTCATTGTCGCGTCCGTCGTCATTGCCCTAGATACTCTTGTCGTCATTGTCATTTTCGTCGTCATCAACATCGCCATCTCAAGCATCAGTTCCAGTGAACCATCTTCAGTAGCTTATGGTCTCATGACTTTGGAAGAATCGTAACTTATGAACATATCAAAATAAAAACACCGCGGCTCTCTATGCCTGCGACACCAACGCGGCCGAAGTTTCACGCGCAGGAGGACGCGCAAGGGCCTTGTAAATTGGGAAAGCGTGAAATGGCTGCGCATTACAACCGCATCGGGGCTGAGTCACGCGATGATTGAGGGCGACACATCATGATCCCTTGACCTACATTGCCCAATCTCCAGCGCAAGAGATCTATAGCGCTTTGGCACCGCCGACGTGGATGCCATCCTAGTTGTCGTATATGGCAATGCCCTGCTTTATCTTCAGGCATGTTGTTCATTGCAAGCGCTGACTACTCAAATCAGGCACGTTCGAACACGCTAAAAGTTGGACCCGTCACCTCACGCAAGTTTCCAGACCAAAGGTTGCTGTCAAAACCCGTTTGAGGCGATGACTGAAGTCAGCCAGCTTCCCTTCAGAGACGCGCTTGTCAGCATAGGCCATGAGGGAACCGCCATGGAGGTGTGGGCCACGCTCATCCAACACCGCGCTCAGGGCTGCTGGGGGTACACTTGTACGATGGCATCTGGCATTTGATGGTTTTCTTGCTGGTCAATCGTGGGTCCACTTGTGCCCAAGAATACACCCACATCGGATAGGTAGCACCCACATCCGCATCCAATTTCCTTTTTCATCGCGAAGATAAGCCCCCCCTCAGCCTAGAGTTAACATTTGCAACACCATGCGGCTGAGTTTGCGCAAGGGTTGCGTTCCTTTCATTGTCTTGTCTAATGATTAATGTTGGTTTGCTCTATGGAAATGCAATCGCCCTTCACCCATCAAAACCCACAAAGCAAATGCACCAGCATTAACAATCAGACTTAAGCCACAAATCTTAATAAACACATGTGAGCAGGAACCTGGTTGGCGACAACCATTCCAGCCAACCCTCCGCCCACCACCACGACATGGCTCGCCGGAAACAATGCCATGCGAAGCGCATCTGCACTCAATTTGTGGGCGCAGTACCAAGTGACTGATTGATGCGAAAACTGCGGAACAGCGTTTGTCACTCAAAACAACGGGTTGCTCATTAAAAAATTATGTAGCCTACTTTTGCAAGCTAAGCTTGCCGGCCATGTGTTTGCCTTCATGTCGGCCTAATTTGAGCTCAAATGCGGTGGGGCTCTGCACAGTGCTCAGCAGCCTGCGCACCAATTCTTTGGCAAGAGTCACTTCAATTTTGGTGAGAATTTTGTACGCGTCATTGGGAAACAGCAAACATGCATGCGCAAACAGGGGGCCCAGAAAATAACTGGCAGCAACACCAAGCCATCAATATCGATCCATGTGTGAGGGGAACGCGTTGCAGATTCAATGGCAGCCTTTGCTCAAGAGGCGCAACACGCAACCAAGTTCCAGTAGGTAAACCGAACGATGCAAAGGCTTCACGAAGCCGCACGCCCCAACCAGCGCGCTTTTCACCACCCATGGCGGCGGCAATAGCACCTGCCTCTGTTCAAAGGAGTTTGGCCGGATTCACCGCTTGAGAATGCACGGACACGACGAAAATGCTTCAACGTTAATGCCAGAAAGCTGAACACACAAGAAACAAACACTTGTGAACCTTAGATTCTTGCACGCCCACTACAGCCTTCCGCAGAATGTGTTGAGCTTTTAGAGTACAGGAGGGCGGTCATTGTGGCATAGGCTGGTGGGTCATCATCAAGATTTTGTGCGCTTTCCTGCTGGTACGCCTTCGGGCACTTGCGAAGTTTCCAACACAGTGGGGGCTCCAAGTGTTGTTGCTGAAAAAATCACTCTATCCCTTTGCAAAGCCGTCTGCGAGCTGCGCATCTGAGTTGCACCATCGCAGCTCCGTGCCTTGAGTTTCAAGGTCTTGAACCAAGGCAAAGACTTCAAAAACTGAGTAAACTGAGTGTTTATCTTTCGAACTGAAGGCACTCGTCTGCAACGATCCATTCTTTGCAGCATGAAACAATGCTTTTGCATCTACAACTCACGCTCATGCAAGCAAACTCTGCAAGCCGAATGGCGCCGATGGTTTTTCCAAGCATCTCTTGCCACTGCGTCCTCAAAACCCTGAGGTCCTGCTCAGGCCTGAACCTCTGCAATTAACGACGGGCGGCACACGCTTCTCAGCTTGTTCGGTGGCCAGCTCATCAAGTTCACTGCAAAGCTGGTGGGTTGTAAGGCCGATCTCTTTAAATCGTCAACATGGCTTCCAATCATGCCAGCGGTTCCTTGGACCTCGGCGCGGCATCGCCACAAGCAAGGCTCCATCAAACAACGTTCAAGGCCCAACTCTTGCAAGATCTTGTCGTCAAAGTAAAAATGTAGAACTTCCGAAGTCCACTGTCAAGCCGTATGCAACTCGCATGATCTGAACAACTTGCCCTTTGCCCAGGCAGCAACTTTGGTTTTGGAGTTGCCTGAAGCGGAAAATGGTCAAAAATGTTGTAACTTTGTATCTGAAAAATTCCAAATGACGATGCGGGTTTTTGGTTTAACTTGTCCAAAGCCAGCTGCTTGCAAAACAAGGACCCAGCGCATCCGCAAGATCCATGCCGGATCAACCTTGCCGAGGGCAGTTCCTTCATGGCTTGGTTTGTTTCCTTCATGGTTTGTCTTTGCACCTTGTTCAGTTTTTGCCAAGACACTTCAATCCCTTGCGCAACACATTTGGCAATGAACTTTCTGGGGTCCTTCACAATGGCTCTCCACTCTCTCGTCAACTTCAGTTGAGACATTAGCTGACCGTTGGCCCCTTGTCGTGAGTCTTGTTGGACCATACCATCTTGTTACTTGACGTTTAAGGATGTCCGCTAGCTGATGTGATCTTCCTTCTCGCGATACTTGAGATCTACGGTAGTACACGAGATCGCCCGGGTAGAAGTTCACAGGCAACGTCACTCTCATGTTGTGTTGGTGGTTTGGGTGAGTTTCTTTAGGCTTCAGGTCCAAGAGTTTTCGGTACTTGGATTGCATTGCACTCCCCAGTCTGGAACTCTTGGTCGGAACTGAGGGACGACCATAGAGAAGGTTGCCCCTTCATGACATCGGTAGGAATCCGTCATTTCTTTTCCGCATACTCATTGGACTGGAGCATGGCCACCTCGAAGGTGTCGGTCAAGTTTGTGCTTGAGCGCTCCAGTCAAGTTCTCGACTTTTCCAGCTCCACTCCATTCAGGACCCCAAATTTTTCCGCGTTCCCGGCGGTAGCCAAAGTACTGGATACCATCCAGCTTGTAAAAGAAGTGCATCCAGACTTGCTGCGGGTCTCATTTTATCGCGGCCTGACATCGTCCATCCACGACTTGAACGTGAGCTGGTCGCCTGAAGAACGACAAGAAAGTTCAGAAGTCGAAGTGATTGGTATCTAACGGACTTCGGGTGATGGAAACCAAGTAAGAACAAGGCAGAACAAGTTCAAGAATGACTGTTTCTGAACCGCGCGTCGCAGTTCGCTAGCATTCGAACCTTCGGGGGACGACTTCGTCAAGGAGGACGGTTCCATGAAGCTAAACTTGACAGATGCAGCTATGGCTTACCTATACTGTATGGTCCATGACTAAAAGTGCCCTAGAGGCCAATCCACACAAAGAGATCCTGATGTCAAACTCGTAGTCATCATGACACTGATGGATGGCCTATTTATTCTCGTGAAACACACTGTCATCACAAGCCAACCACCTGCAACATCAAGAATTGTTTCTAGACGAGTCAATGACAGTCAATGTATTGATCCCCACAACTAGGGTCGGAATTTGGTTGGCCATATAGTTTCACCGCTGGGCATTTTGCTCTCCCACGTGCTGAGGCAACAAAAGGTAGCTAGCTCTCTGAACTGTGCCATCTGCCGTTGCCAAAACGAAACATCTATCGTCTTTGGGGCAAAACCTTCAACGCCAGTCAATTCAAAGCGTTTTTGTGGCACTTGTTGTATGGCACCAAAGGAACCAACAGTCTCAGTGGCTCTCGCCGGCCATCTGGTGACACTGTTCCACCATGTAGGCGGTTGCAAAACTTTCGACCATGAACATGCTGCTTCCCCCACTTCCTTTTCAAATCTTCCGGTGGTTGCGGTTGTACTTTTTGGATATTGACGAAAACCATGCCCTTGGCCTCCACAAGTGAAGCGCCCTTGCCCCATGCCGGTCCGGTGGATGCCATCACTTCTTGTGTTGGCATCACCTTTGTAGGGGGGTAGTAAAGTAGTAGAGTTCCATGACGATGGACGTCGGAAGTGTTTGCCGTTCTTGCGTCTTTTTGTGCCCTTCATGTGCACAAGAAAGAACTTCGCTCATCCCTTTTTGTTCCCGTAAACATGCGAGGTTGCATGTGTATTTTCAATTTTCGATGCTGTTTTTGGTGTCAGGCTCCAGTAAACTCAGACTTCAGTAAACACCAGAGCCATCAGTCTCCAGCCACTGCCCAGAGCTGCCTTGACAATAACCATGCCATCCAACATCTTCAAATGCCCAACTCACATTGTCCGCGTTATAGTCATCGCCCGGAGTCGGTGAGGTCGGCTGTGGAATCTTTCAGAAGGTCGTTTTTTCCAACCTACGATTTATTTTTGTTGCCAGTCATCTTGTGGGGTGAGCAATCCCTACTGCTCATTTCCTTCGTCCAAAAAAACTATGGGTCCTTTGCCATGACGTTGATGCGGTTGAAAATTTCCCTGAAGTAGTTCCCCTTCTGGTCACGAAGTGCTTCCTCAACCGCCTCCAAGTTCAAGGAGTTCTGCACCAAGGCTTGAACTAATAGCCCCGCTGCACTGCTGAGATTAGCACGCCCCGCGTTTCTTGAATAATTTCCGTGGTCAATTTTTGCTGTCACTGCCCTTCAGGCTATGTTGTGAGGAAAGACCAAAGATTGAACACATGCGAAAACAGTTCCGAGCCCTCCACCCGCTGCAACATGAACATGGTCTGCTGCGCCTGGTGGCAGCGCCATGTGCCTTCTGCAGCTGGGTTGCTTTACAATCCCAAGGAATGCTGAAAGACCAATCGGGGCCTCTCGTGACAACCTGCTCGTCACAACGCCGGCCAGTGCTACGTCATCACTTTGGATGCCTGACCGTCTTAAATTTCAATCCGGTGAAGCTTGAAACTGCATCCTTGGGCAAGGCCAATGACCCAATCAGCGACCGCGCACAGGAGGGAATGATCCAGGGGAACGAATTGTCGCCCCCCCTGTCCAACAAAATCCCTAAGGATTCTTGCAATGTGGGCATGCTTGTCTCGACCTGATCTAATCTGGGCCGCACAGCCCGTGTGAAGGATTCGCGCTGAGCGCGTCAGAAACAAGATGCATATTTGTCTTTCCACCTTGCAAGGAAATTTGCACCTTGATCAAGCCGCTCTTCACTGTCGACTGGCCCACAGTAAAATGTCGCAGCAGAGTTCTTGCATCTTCCCGTCTCAAATAAGTATGTCAGCTTGTCGATTCTTGTGGGATCTAATGGCAACGTACTCAACTCAAAACCTCCATAGCTCTCCAAGTCCGCACGGGCCGTGTCTATGTCCTGATCGCGGGAATCCGTTGCCCCTTCCTAAATCTAAGCCAAAGTCTGAAGTTCAGAACAACGATCATCAAAACATGACGTCTGACAAAGCACGCAATGCTTCACAAGCGCAAGCTCCTACAAAACATAGATAGGCCACTGAAGGCCAAACAAGACCTGCTATGCAATATTTCGAACGAAAAATGATGAACACCTGGATGCTGAGAACGCTCATCTTCCGAAAGCCGCCACAACGTCTGACGCAGCACGCAAAGTTTCACCAGCGCAAGCTTTGACCAAACAGGTGTCCGTTTCAAGGACTGTTCAATGGTATGCGCTATGGCACCCACCCACCGCACCCTGAAAGACCCTCCAAACAACAAACTCTTTAGCCGGGTGCCCTCCTAATCCATCATCTTGGAGCAATTGTGGTTTCCAGACTTCATAAACATCCGAGAGTCGTTGCCAAGACAATCCCAGCTGTTGTGGTGAGGCCTTGGCACGATCAAACCCCGGTTCTGGATCCATCCAGATGACCCCAATCAGAGGGAGAGCATGACCGCAGGCAAAGGCAGTGTCCTATTCGGGGATGATCCTCCCCGTCCACAAACATGGCCAAAGTTATCATAACTTGGACGCTTCATAAGATCCTTTTTTATGACGGCTGAGAGCTAACTGAAGACAAATATCAAGTTTAAGAGTCCAAGATATAACACACTACGATACCTGACAACCCCCTAACTCCCCAACCGAGCCCGGCGTCAGAACCACAAGAGCAAACATCCGAAGCCCTCCCACTCCTCCACGCCCAAAGGCCCGTCCATCACAACCTCAGTCCATGCCTTCACCCACCTCGTCGGGCAGAGAACAACCTTGCCAACCGGCCCAACAGGACCCTGCGAGCCCCTTGCCTCTTCTGGCTCGGATAGGCCTGTCACGAGATGAACAGGACCCAGTCTTGCCCGCCGAAGACGAAGGAACCGAGACAGATCACCAATGACCAGTCAGAGCAGCGAGAAAAAAGTCGGGATGACCCCAGGACAGGCCCGGAACCCACGTCGCGGGGGGCTGCATCCTCTTCTTGAAGCTGAGGAGGATTTGGAGCTGGCTCCCCAAACCGAGAATGAGGCAGTTTCTGTGCAGGAGCAAGATCTCCTCAGGCTCAGAAGATCAAGGGGAGGACCAGCATTTCGCGGCAGGAGGCGCATGGGGCGTTCCCGCTGCAACTCATGCAAGAACTGTTTGTTGGCAACATGTGACTGGAACCAGAGATCAAAACTCTCGGCCACTTCAGTGATTGTTGCATGTCCCAAGCCAACAGCTAACACACGGGCGTGCCACAGTTCACATTTATGTGCATGTGGCAGAAGAACCAAGGGTGCTTTTTTCGATCGTTCTACACTATGGAGTTCAACACCAAGGATGCTCCACCAGCCCTTGCAAACGTGGAGGGGGGCAAAGCAGTTAGAGCTGCGCGCAAATGATGTTCTCCACGGCCGGAACAGCCGACTGCGGCCGGGGCGCGCAAGGCACAAGGCGGGTGGTGTTCGGGCCCGGACAGGGACGTGAGATGCAAGCAATCTGAACTCCAGCGGCCGGTTAGGGGCCCGGGCAGAGCAGCTCGGGGTAGCGCCGGCGCTTCCGGACCGGGTGTAGCCAGCGCGGTCAAGGGCGACACCAACGTGACGTCGCAGCACCATGCCTCGTTTATGGGAGACACACTGTGGATGACAGGGTCCAATCGGCGGTCAACCACAGGGATGGCGGGGGCATCTGCTGAGGGACGACGCGGCGTTTTTAGGCCCGACGGCCTCCCGCGAGCTGGGTTGAAGCCTGAATTGGTGACACTCATGCAGCAACATGTGATTCAAGGTGTCCAGGCCCAGTGGACGTTCATCAAGGGCACCAAGTTCTTGCTGAAGTTGGTTAACCAAGTTGGTGCCAGAGTTTCCCCATGTTGTTGAAGGGTATCATGTGTCTTCTTGGACAGTGCTGGTTTGGAAGTTGTCCGTCTTCTCCATTTGTGTGGGATGCTCACCCAGATGTTGTCCAAACCGTGTGACAGACTCGCGTTCCGATCCCCAACCAAAATCCAAACATTGCGGTTGGGCAGTCCTTTCGAAAGTAGATCGCATTCGTGCCAGAAATCTTGTCAAGACCTCTTGCTGTTGACGTCCTGTGCACGCCACACATGTTGATATTATACACACTATGCCAATGTTCGTGTGTGGTTACTACAGCCGAACATGCAGCAGTCTGCCGGGTACAACAACGCGCCAGACTAATTCATCCATTTGGTGACCTTTTGGAAGCACAGTGCACACAAAGGGTAGGCATCATATTGCCAACCCCCTGTGAAGTTCCATCTGGTGCTGGATGCGAACAATGTCAACGTGTTGCATAGTTAGCGAGCTCCTGAGTATATCCTTGCGAACTCCCAGAGTGTCTATGTTCCAGCTCGGCCAGAAGAACGATTGCTTCGAACTTTGGAGGGTCGGGATTTGTTCATTGGCATCCTCTGACTTGTGGGAGGACGCGAAATGAAGGCAACTTCAATTGGTCAGCAATCGGAAGCTTGAGGGCCCTGTGAAAAGCCCCCTTCCTGGCAAAAAGTGCTTGCGGTCGAGTTTGGCCTAGTGAGGATTCAAACTGTCAGGTCCTGGACCACTATGCTCTGTCACAGAGACACCCCCTGAGAGGGTGGATCCACGATGTTGACGCCGCCAGTCCGCGTGCCCCAAGCGGAACCCTCGGGCTGCCAAGTTGGCGCATCCACATTGTAGGGAAAGTCAAGCATGGTCAATGTCAAGAAAAAGAGGATGATGAGGATGTTGCACCTGCGTGCCTGGGATTTGGGAAGCAGTGCGTCAAAGTCAAGCCCTCTCGGTGTCCCAGTGCCCCAGCGCAAAGATGCACCTGCAGTAAGCAGGAGTGCCAGCCAGTCAGGGAGAGCGCGAGAAACAGGCCAGACTCTGAGGGAGACCAAATCTGCAGGATCTGTAGCACTAGATAAGGGCCTCAATGATCACAGTGGCGCCAGGTCGAGACAACAAGTTTGAGCACTCGCAGCCCTCATCATCATCATCATCATCATCATCATCATCACCTTCGGCATCATCACTATCGCCATCATCATCGTCACCCTTTTTCCACGATAGCAACTTCAGACAGCGCAACGACAATCACAATACATCGTGACTCGTCACATCATTTTTCATCATACAGGTTTTGAACATAAAGGTTTGCTGTTGCTGCTTTCTCCTCGTGTTACTCCTGCGATGTGCTCGGGTCATCCTGTCGTCTAGTTGCTTTTGGCTTTCGCTTTTTCGCCGGCAGCTGTGTTTACTCATGTGGCGGTTTGTCAATGTCAACATCACAGGCGGCCACGTCCCTCGCACACCAAAGCGTGAGAGCATCACCCCCCGTTGAATTTTTGTAGAAGCAGCGCTTTCAAGCTGGGGTCGCGTTCGTCAGCCTCAACAAGCAGACTTCCACTTTCCAGACCCATCCTTGCATTTCTCCTTCCACTTTTCCACCACCCCATCGTCTATCATTCAAAACATTGAGGTCAGAGGTCAGCCCCTTTCAAGGCGGAAAATCCTGAACACAGGGCTCGTTCAGGGCCATTGCCCGCCAGCTGCAATGAATGGCGTGGGCACTGACACGGTTGGAGTGTTCAGCTGGGGGTCTCAGCTACAGGAACTTTGGATAGCCGGCCTCGCAGTCTTATGACAAGAAGGTATGTGTCAGAATACTTGGGTAGCTGAGCTGGCGGTAATGGGTAGGGCCTGGCAGCAACAGAGATCAACGCTTTTTGCTGATAATGTGTGGAGAAAAGAAGATGAGCCCACCGTGTGTTGGGACAATATACAATACAATCAAAAACAAGCGCTCACAACCGCAATCCAAAAGCCCAGGTAACAGGAGCCCAGAGGTCCGGGTGCAACTGCCGAAGCGAAGCACCAAGCAATTGCAAGAACAAATAAACGAAGAGCTGGCAACAGCCATGACAGCAGCAAATGAAAGGGAAAGGGTGCGTCGAATCATCGCATGATGATGGGACTCGTGCTGTTCCGGATCACATCATTGAACTTTGACCACGATTGATAGACTGGGTCTGAAGATTGTGAGGCATGTAGCCGAATCCAGAAGAGCGCTTGATCAGGAGTTGGCGGGGAAAGTTCCTCGAGCAAATGGCGGCAATAGGAGTCATACGATGGGTTTCATCACAAGGCCACAGAACTGTCGAGCGATATGCACGTTATTGAAATATCTGAAAAGCCCAAGAGCGAAAGCCATCGTTAAGGCCAAGGCCAAGCCAAAGCCCAGCAAGCAAAATTGCATGTCGTTCGGACAGAATCAAAGTCTCCTTTCAGTGACAAGTGTCAGGTTGATTACAGTACTCTGACGCTGACCACCATGTGCGTTCCACAGCGCAGCACTGGTTGGTGCTTGGTACATCGTTTTTCGGTCTGGCAAGCTTCCAAATGTGCGTGTTGAGTAGCTTTGTTTTGCGGCGGCTATTGGCTACCAACCTAATGAATGGGAACCAGTCAATTGCATGTTTGCGGGCCATCCTGCTTCACAAATGTTTCCAAGCAAACTTTCCAGCATGCTGCGGGTAGAAACCAAGGACACGGGGTGGAATTGGAGAACGCAAAATACAAAAGAACAATCGTTGGAACTTAACCATCAAATATCCAGAGGTCCTTGCATCTTGTGTTGGGTTTGACACTTGAATTACTTAGATACACTTAAATCAAATGAGTTGAGACTTGTCGAGACACGACCTCGAAGACTTCATTCAACCACATGTCGCTTTGCTGGCGTGCCTGATGTTTAGCTTCTGGGCTTTTCCGCCAAATCTGCAGCGGACATGTCTTGGCATTGCATTGTTCCACCTATATTGTCAGCGGGGTAGCCTGCAAGCTTTGCTTTGTTGCCCAAGCTCGCCTGGAGCCTGTGGGACAGCCAAGATTGCTATGAGGACACTGGTCACACTGGTCTGCTTGCCGTTCTGGTGAAGCCGGCACCTCCACCTTTGGAGAGTAGGCGAAGCAGAATTTGG